AAATGAGCTCAGGTGTGTTTCAGGTGGAGGGCGTGGAGAAGATCTGTGTTCGCTACCAGACCATCGTCTCCACAACTGAGTCCAAGACCTGTGACGTCCTGGATCAGCGCAAACTGGAGGTGATTTCAAATCTATATTCTTGAAACACATTAATCACTTTTATTATATACGGGACAAAATCACAGAAACAGAGAAAAATGGAAGAAAAGGACGAGGAACTGTGACGCTGCGGTGCAGACTGTGGAGTTGTAAGAATGAGAGGAGCCAAAATGACTTCATGAGTGACAGTGGATTCATTTAAAGTCAGTGGAGAAAACACAGTTAAATCCCAGCACTGTGACTTCTGTGGCAATTCCTCCTGAATCCCACACGATGTCTGTGATCAGGTGAAAACACAACTCCAACAAACTCCTGCTCCCAACCGTGGCTCCGTGAAAAACACTCTGCTGAACCCTGGTGACACAAAAACACAGTTCAGAGGTCATCCCAGCGAGCGAGGTATCTTCACAATAATTATTATTAGGATGAGTTAGACTGAAGGATCCCGCTGGAACTCAGCCACACTCTTAAACACGGCTCTCCCGACGAGCGTACTCTGCTGCAGATGGCGAGCGTCAGGTGTGGATGCCTCCGGCGCAGGAACGCTTCTGAGGCCGCTCAGGTAAAACATCCCGGAGCACACACACAGATAAACACGAACAGACGGGTGGAAAACAGCGAAAACCACAAAAACACCTGAGTCCTGCTTCCCCAGACCCAGGCCCTGACAGGAACAGGACTTCATTGGTTTTACAGGGACAACTTTTATCAGATATGATTGTGAAGCTTCTCTCACAGTGAGGCTGAATGAGCCAATAACAGCTAATAACACAGTAACAGGTACGTTTCATGTCTTTATTGGACTCTGAGTAATCACACTCTGACCTCACAGAGCAGCTGGATGAACAAAGAGAACTTTTACTAACTGCCTTTGAACACAACAGCCTCCATCAGAGGTCAGAACAGTCGTTTCCCTCCTGGTCTCCTAACACGAGCACCGTTCTTATCAGCTATTTATCAGACTGTAGTCACGCAGTCACACATGTTACCCAGCATGTCTTCACTGTAGTGTCTCTGTGCACCAGTATGCACGCTCACAAACATCTGGCACACACCCTTACACACTCACATGTGGACATTATAACACT